TGTGTGTCCATGTGCACCTGGTGTATGCGTGAGTGCACCTGGGTGGATGGGGTGCGTGCACATGCCTGGCCATGCACCTGTGCGTTGGGCAGGGAAGAGGATACACCTGAGAGCATCTATGTGAGCATGTAAGAGGGGTGCATCTGCACGTCCTGGAGCGAACCCCTAGCCCCCTCACCAGGCACTGGCCCTGAGTAACTGTGTGAGTCGGACTGAGAGGTGGACAGGTAAAAGCTGCAGCACCTGCTGAGGAGAAGTCACAGTACCCATCCTGCTGTCACAACCTGGACCCCTGCTCAAGCCCGACACACATCACACCTGAGCCCCACACTGTCCCAGGTGCTCAGAAGTGGCTTCCCACCAGGAAGGGCCGAGGCCGTGGTGAGAGTTCATCCTGCAGGCTTTCTCGGAACTGTGTCACCTGCCGTCCCGTCATCCCTTACCATTTCCGTGGTGACCGGTCTGGAGAATTCAGTCAAGGCGACATTCTGAGCCCACACCCAGGTACTTCCTTGCTGGCCAACCTGTTGGTCCCAGAGACCCTCTTACACCTCGCCGCAGTCCCCAGGCTGCTGGCCGACCTGGAACGGGCCGGGGCGTCTCCTTCCCAGGGTCTCACTCGGTTAGTCCCCTCGCTAGGCCCTGCAGAGTGCTTCCTCCCCACCACCCTGGCCATCTGTCATCCGCTGCACGGCCTGGCCACTGTGGACTCGAGGATCTGCCTACACTGTGGACTCGAGGATCTGCCTTTGGCCCTCCCTGGGCAGCTTCCTGACCTGAGTGCAGAGAGCTGGACACCATGACCTGGAGCTCAGGGTGGGACCTGTGCCTGGGACACCCGCCCAAGGCCCGGAGGAAGATGAGGAGTGGGACTAGGCGGGGTAGGGGGTAGGGAGGAGGAAAGGCAGGGAGAGCGCACTGGGGTGCAGTTCCACACGGGTGATGGAGATGGAGTGGGGGGCATGTGGGGGTTGGGGGTAGGGTGAGGACCGGTGAGGTAGGCCGGGGATGCAGCAAGGCCGGGGTGCTGGGAAGGGAGAGGGGCTAGGCGTTAGGCAGCCGCCTGGATCTCCTCCCTTCCTGTCTCCCGAGGGACGAGCCTCCGCGTCTGCCCGCCCCCAGTCCTAGAGCGGAGGCCTCGCACAGGACCCGGGCTCGCGCTCTGGCGGAGGGCTCAGCTCAGCTCTGCTGCAGCCGCGGGAGCGGCCGTTCCGGC